CAAAATACTTTAGTTAGTGCCTTTATTTAAATATGTTTGTTTTTTATTAAAAATGTAATATGTGCTTTTGGAAATAAAATGTAAATAATGAAGAATGAAGAGTTTAAAAAAAATGAGTTTGCTTTGAACCTATTCCCCTATCCTCGTCTCTTTTCACAGAAGATGTCTATTTTTTGTATGCCTCTTCCCGACTGTTTTCTCCATGTATTTATATACAGTTTTTTTTTTTTTTAACCAAATGGCATATGTTAGGCACATAATGTGTTATTTACAATGTTCTCTGTTCTCTGACTTTTTCATTCTCATTGTGTGTCACTGTAGATTTACTTCTTTATTTTTAAGAGACATGTAATATTCTCAAGGATAGATATGCTGTAATTCATTTAACTGTTTCCCTGTTGATGAATATTTAGATTATTTCCAATAGTTTGTTATAGGTTATTTCAACAAATGTTTATTGACTGTCAGGCAGTGCTTGTGAACAAATCACAAAAATTCCTGCTCTCATATGGTTGCCTTTTGGAGGTAGACCGGTACCAAATAAATATATGCCGATATTGAGGAATGTAAAGTGGGGAAGGAGATAGGGAGTGAGGGGGAGAGGTGTGCATTTTAAAATGGGGTGGTTAGGTGAGAGTTACCAACAGGTAACATTTGAGTGGAGATCTGGCGAAGGTAGCATAATGAGCTCTGAAGGTGTTGGTAGGGGAGGAAGAGTGGCATAGAGCATTTTGGGAAGGAGAGAAGTCCAAAGGGAGGTAGGCCTGTGCCTGATGTCATAGGGGAAGAAGAATGAGACTGTTGTGGCTGAAGTGAAATGAGCAAGGGAGGGTGGGAGATGAAGTCACAGAAGGTGATGGAGAGTCAGGGTAAATTGCGTTGAGCTTTTTGAACCCAGTGTAAGGATTTTTAAAAGATAAATATTAATTTAATTTTATTTAAAAAATAGAGGTAGGGTCTTTCTGTTTTGTCCAAGCTGGTCTTGAACTCCTCCGCTCAATCCTTCCACGTTGACCTCCCAAAGTGCTGGGATTACAGGCACAAGCCACCACGCCTAGCCTACAAATAGATATTTAATTATAGATAGGGGGTCTTGCCATGTTGCTTAGGTTGATCTCAAACTCCTGGACTCAAGCAATCCTCCTGCCTTGGCTTCCCAAAGTGCTGGGTTTATACACATGAGCCACCATACCAGGCCCACTGGAAGGATTTTTGCCTTATTTAGAATGAGGTGGCAGGCCTTTGGAAGTTTCTGAGCAGAAGCGTGGCATAATCTGATTTACATTTTGAATGATCTCTCTGTATTCTTGATAATAGACTTTGGCCAGAAGCAAGAAGGCTATATAGGAGGTATCAGGCATGGTTTGATGGTGGTTTGGACCAGGGTAGTTAGCAGTATAGGTGGTAGGACATAGTTAGATTCTTAATGCATATTAAAGATGAAGTGTGAGAGAGTAGTCAAGGATCACTCTGAAATTTGGGGACTGAACAATTGGAAAGTTGGAGTTGCCATGAAATAAAATGATGAAAATTGTAGTAGACAGGATTAGAAATTTGGCTTTGGGCAGGTACTGTTTGAGAATTTCTTAGACATCCAACCAGAGATATTGAGTATGCAGCTGGAAATGTAGATACGAAGTTCACTGAAGAGGACAGGGCTGGAGAAGCAAACGTTGGAGTCTTCAGTTTACTAATGCAATTTAAAACCCTCAACTTACCTAGGAGTAAATTGGATAGAGAAGAGAGGGACAGCCCTTGGGCACGTCAAGGTTAAGGGGCTAAGGATCTGAGAAGGAAGCATTGAAGAGATCAAGAAAAGGTGCCATTGAGATAGAAAGGAAACCAAGAAAACCAAGAGGAGAGAGTTAACAGTGTCACTCAAGGAGAACTTAGAATTGACCATTGAATTTAACCATGTGACAGTGTGGGTGACCCTGCCAAGTGCAATTTTGAAAGAAAGTAAGGTCATCTGATTGTAGGAGATTTGAGAAAGAATGGAAAGAGAGGGCCTTAGCTGATGGGTGATAGGAAGTCAAGATTTTTTTTTTTTTTTTTTTGAGGGGGGGATTCATTCTTAGATGGAGAAATAAAACATTTAAATTTATGGGTAATTGTCCAGCAGAGGGACAGTTTGATACAAGATAAACTGGAGGAAGTTCAGATACAAGTTTGAGGACATTTTAATTTATATGCATATGTGCAGGGATTTTTATAGGCTGGATTCTTAAAAGGATTTCCTGAGTCAAAGGGTATGTGCATTTTAAAAACCTGTACCAATTTATATTCCACTTTCACTGTATGCCCCTTCTAACATTGAACATTCTTAATCTTTACAATTATTGTCAATCTGATAGGTGATGATATCTTCATTATTTTAATTTGTTTTATTGCTTTCTAGGAACTGTTTATTTAATCTTTCCAATTCTTTATGATATTTTGTCAAATATTTTCTCCTGGCTGTCTCTTTCCTTTTAACTTTGCTTAGGGTATCCTTTTACCATGCAGGACTTTTCAAAAAAGTTTTTAGGTAGTTAAGTTTGTCAGCCATTTCCTTTTATAGCATTTGGGTTTCATTTAGATAATATAAATATTTGACATAGTTTATTTTTCTGTATTTTATGAAATAGATATCAAAGTTTTCCATCTTTTTCTATATTCTTAAACAGCTAAATACCATAGGAGTTAACTGTTTCTTGAAGGTTTGAAAGAAATTACCTACAAAATCTTCTAGGACTAGAGCCACTTTGGAGGGTAGGTCTTTGACTACTGTGTAATTCTTTTCCTGTGGTTAATAATCTGTATGGTTTATGTACTTCTTTTTAGTTTTGGTAATTGATATCTTCCCAAGAAAGTCATTTTTTTCATTTACATATTCAAATTTATTGGTTCAAAATTCTACATAAAGTGAGGAAATACCAAGTCTTCTTTGCAGTATATCCCTATACTTAAACCTTAATCTAGGTAGTAAATACTGGAGCTCTCCTTTCACTGATCTGGAGATGAGGTTAGCTGTTTTCAGCCCTTACGGATCGTGTTCTTGGGGTTATTCTTAAATTCTCATTCTCTTTTGTTTGTAAGGTTTCTTGGCTTTGTTTCCTGTTTCCAGTCTGATCCCATTTGCTCTTTTTTTTTTTTTTTTGAGACACAGTCTAACTCTGTTGACCAGGCTGGAGTGCAGTGGCACAATCTCAGCCTACTGCAACCTCTGCCTCCCACGTTCAAGCAATTCTCCTGCCTCAGCCTCCCAAGTAGCTGGGATTACAGGTGTGCACTACCACACGTGGCTAAGTTTTGTATTTTTAGTAGAGACGGTGTTTCCACCTTGTTGGCCATGCTGGCCTCGAATTCCGGATCCGCCTGCCTCAGCTTCCCAAAGTGCTGGGATTATAGGCGTGAGCCATTGTGCCTGGCCCAATTTGCTTTTTAGCTTACACAATTTCTCCTATTGAAACCTGCTGGCACATCTGTGCTTTTCTTGGTTTCCAGCATTTTTATTTTCATATTTCTTCTGTCATATTATAGGGATTTTTTGGGAGGGATATGGGGCAAATGCATAGTTTTAGTTAACCTTTTGAAATTGGAAGTCAGTTCTTTTCTGTGTAGTTTTCTTTTATTATGATCTTGTTTCATTGCTGGTTGTACTGTAGTTGGCTAGTAACTTCACAGCTCAAGTAGTAATAGTCAGATAGGTGTGACTGTGTTTTTTTTTTAATGAAACCAGATGTCTCAGTGGAATATACTCAATCAGAAGAAATGTTGATATGTTGTCACTAAACATTCAAATAGTACTTTTCAAACTTAAAAAACATAATCCTAACACTTAGAACTGTAAGGGACTTTACAGATCATTAGACCAACTGCCTTATTTTATGGATGAGGAATTTGAGTCCCAGAGAGATTCAGTGATTTATCTCAGGTGGCAAAGTCAGTGATCAAGACAGCCTAAGTCTCTTTACTTCCATTTGGCTATGCTATTTGCTGTCATACACATTCATGCTGTTCTCCTTACCTGTGTGATAAAGGAGGTATTTCTGTTAATACAAAATTTTTTTTAAATTTAAAGATGTTACCTGTGGCTTGGAATTGCTTGTAAAATTTGGTCTTAGATACTTTAATAATACATTGATATAGATTTGCTTTTTCTCACGTAGGTATTAATTATTGTGATACAGATATGAAGTTTTAAAGTATGGGCTGTCAGAGTATGCACTAGCACAAATGAAAACCGTATTGTTTATTTCCCCCATAATTCCTCTTTTCTGCTTATGGGCTTTATATGATTTATGGACTCTTTGGATTTCTTATTAATATTTTAAAGAAGCTTAAGGAATATAAATATCTTAGACGTAAGATTTTTACTTTTTTAGTTTAATATAACATGCTCCTAGATCAACACCTATATTTAGAAGGGCTAAAATATATGTGTGTGTGTGTGTGTGTGTGTGTGTATATATATGTTTATATTTATATATAAGTGCTTTGCTTACCATTTCTTCAGCAATCATTAGGGGATAGATTTATCAAACTTTCATTGCTTTGCTAATTATTGCTATCACATGTTTGGTAATCATGTCTTTATTTCTTTAAAAGTTTTTTAAAAATACAAAAAACAAAAACAAAAAAATTAGCTGAGTGTAGTGACATGGGCCTGTAATCGAAGCTATCTGGCAGGCTGAGCGGGAAGGATCTCTTGGGCCCAGGAGGCGGAAGTTGCAGTGAGTGGTGGTTGCACCATCTTGGGCAACAGAGGGAGACCTCATTTCAAAACAAAACAGAACAAAAATTTTGAGGGTTTGGTGTGCATGGCGTTAGTGGACTTTGGCTGGTTCTTCTTCCACAGCCCACCAAGAAACTTAAGAAGGAGACAAATTGGAATGTAGTTAATATAGAATTAAATTCTAAAAAGATTTGTTTATCTTCAGGTTTTAACTAGATTGTTTTGTAAACTAAAGAACAAGCTCTGTCTCTAATATGAATTCAAATAATTTAATTTTTTCCAGTCAGTCATAATGGCAGGTGAAGAAATTAATGAAGACTATCCAGTAGAAATTCATGAGTATTTGTCAGCGTTTGAGAATTCCATTGGTGCTGTGGATGAGATGCTGAAGACCATGATGTCTGTTTCTAGAAATGAGTTGTTGCAGAAGGTATTTTAAAAATATAATTTCCTAAAAATGAATTTCATAAAACAAAATGCTATTTTGTGAAACGTGGAAGAAACACATTAATGACATATGTTCCTTTTCCCTTTTATCTCAGTTTTATTAGTGTTTGGGTATTTTTATGGGTGAAAAAAACAAAACTCCAGACTTAAGAAATACTTCCTAACCATGTTTTTAACTTGGTTTTGGAAAAAAAAGAAGCACTCACAGTATTCTTTTTGACAGACTCTATCTTTGACCTTTGAAGCATTACAATGATGTTATCAGGGTTTCTGGAAACCCTGTAGGACAAAAACAGTAAATTGACTTTGACAATGTAAAACAAATCTCATTATGTTTCTCCTGTCTTTGGTATTGCCTAAGCATTTTAGCCTGCTTCTTATACATAAATGTATCATGTACAGTGTTTATATTGATAAATTACTTTTGACATACAAAGCCCAGATCATAACTCCTGAAATTAAAATAATTCAAAAGAATTTTTCTTGGGTTATACACTTTCTTTGTCTAACTAAAGATTATACCCTCAAGAGAAGATTTGTGGACAAAAGTCACTCATTAACAGAACAACTTCTTTTTATAAATTATTTTCAGATCATTTGGTTATTGGATTATGTGAAGTGAAAAAAATTTTTGTTACGTTGTACTTGGTAAAAGTTTAAAATGTTATCAGATGGTGTTCAAAGTTCATGTATTTTTTTTTTCTGTCTCTTTTAACAGTTGGACCCACTTGAACAAGCAAAAGTGGATTTGGTTTCTGCATACACATTAAATTCAATGTTTTGGGGTATGTGTGTTACTTTGGAATTAATTAGAAAGCAAATTACTTATTGTGTGAAAGGGGATTTATTTTTAAAAATGCTAACAATTTATATGCAATTATATTTCATAACATTTTTAATAGTCAGATATTTATTTTTAAAATCTGAATGGATGCCAGTGAGCCACACATAGATTTAGTATTACATGGAGATTAAATAATTTAAAGTTTAATTGTTTGTAGGACTTTCCTTATTTGTGAATAACTAGTTTATTTAATTGGAATGTTTTAAATTAATACATACACCATTTTATTCCATGAAATCTTTCTCTTCTAGTTTATTTGGCAACTCAAGGAGTTAATCCTAAGGAACATCCAGTAAAGCAGGAATTGGTAAGATTTTAATTTCTTTTTATTTTATGTGTTTGTTTTATTCCTGAAGTTTGTCACACTACCTTTGTCACACAAATAGGGAGAACAGCATTTGAGTTGAAATTATGTAAGTGAGCCAGACCTTATCATCTTTGTTTTTTTTTTCTTACCTTTTTCAGATGATTGGTATCCCATATATTATATAAATCTCTGAATGGGAAAATGTTATGAGTCTAGTAATTATTTATAACATATATTATTCTTCCTATACATTCTTGAAATCCTGTTTATCTCTAGAACTACTTTTTTTTTTTTAAACTTCTATGCAGTTCTTAAAAGTATATTCTAGTTGATTTACTAGCAAAGACGGGAAAGTTTCTCCCCCCACCTTTTCAATTCCTCCATTAATTCATTTTCTCAGCAGTAAAGAATCCAGTTCAGCAACAAAGCTAAAAGCTTTTTTGGCACCAGTTATATGTGTACTGTCCAGTAATTCTGCATTAGTGACATATTTACAACCTGTAATAAATCTTCTAGGTTTGTCTTTGTATTCCATTTAGATATATAAGTACAGTATATAAGGTCTGGTATCTTGGAGTTTTTGCTGACTTCAAAAATTAAATCATTCAATTTGAAGGGAAAAATTAGAAATCAAACTTAGGGTTAACTTCTTGACTTGGCTTTATGAATAAGAATATTAATAAATTGATTCTTTGTGTTTATAAAATATAAGGCAAATATAGATATGAAATACACTTGACATTGTATTCTTGTTCTCAAGTCTTAGGGTAGTTGATGTGTGTTATTTACAACTTAGTAAAGCACTTGTCATTTATTTTTTAAAAATCAGTAAGCCAGATCTGTTGTCTTCATTTTTTAAACATGTAGTCTAAGGCATTTCCTTCTTTTGAAGTTCTTGGTTGGGGGGGAAATAAATTTATTTTTAAATAAAACAACTGTGAAAGATACTTAAAGCAAAAGTATAAAGCAATATGATACGCAGATCTTGGTTTGACCAATGATATGGCTTTAAACCTTAAAAATGATGAGTTGTATTGTCTGTTTTCAGCTTCCAAATTTGGACTTCAGATGCAGTTTGTCTTTTTTCCATTAACATTAAGTTATTTGGAGTACTTGATACTGTTTTGGTGAAAGGACAAGGCCATTTGTTTTCTTTCTACCTCAGAACCCACTTTATGAAGTAGTACATTAATATTCCAGATAAGGGTTGGTAAATAAAAAGCATGCATAAACCTGTTCCCCTTTTCTGACCTTGTATAGATGTTACTGATTGATCACAGGGTTAGTGTGTGATAGGAAACCTGTTTGCTGTACATATCACAAATGGGAAAAGTCAGTTTACTTATTCAACAAATATTTGAGTGCTTACTGGGAACTAGGCATTATTTCCAAGTGAGGTGACTCCTCTGTGAATAAAGCTGATCCCTGCCCTTGTGGCAGACACCAGACTGTACCTAATGGAGGGAGACAAACAATAAACATAAAGTGAACAAATAAGAGATATATATGAATATGTAGTATGTTGGAAAGTTATGGGAAGAAAGAAAAAGAGCAGGGTAAGGGGGATTGGAGTGCTTGGGTAGGACTGCAGTGATTTTTTTTTTTTTCTTGAGGAGTTTCACTCATGTTACCCAGGCTGGAGTGCAATGGCGCGATCTCGGCTCACCGCAACCTCCGCCTCCTGGGTTCAGGCAATTCTCCTGCCTCAGCCTCCTGAGTAGCTGGGATTACAGGCATGTGCCACCATGCCCAGCTAGTTTTTTTGTATTTTTAGTAGAGACGGGGTTTCACCATGTTGACCAGGATGGTCTCGATCTCTTGACCTCGTGATCCACCCGCCTCGGCCTCCCACAGTGCTGGGATTACAGGCTTGAGCCACCGCGCCCGGCAGTGATTTTTTTTTTTAATTTTTTTTTTTTTTTCTTTTTTGAGAGAGGAAAGAGGAGAGACGGGAAGGACTGCGGTTTTAAATGCTGAAGTCAGAGCCTCATTGACAAGGTTAACATTTGAGAAGACTAGAAGGAAGAGAGGGAGTGGCTGTATGGGTAACTGAGGAAATATCCTTCTAGGCAGAGGAATAAGGAGGGCAGAGACCCCAAGGCAGGGTTGGTGTGTGTGTGCTGCAGCTAGTATCCACCATTGTAAGCACTGTGCTTTTACTCAGACAAAAATGGGGCGCCACTAGAGACTGTGGAGCAGAGTTGCTAGTTTTTCACAATGAAAACATTACAAGAATGTACATTTTTCTGTGTAAAGCTTATTTTTAAACAATGATCAGTCTTTTACTCTGCTATTTTATGGCTCTTATCAACTTCTCCATTTGAAGTATAAGATAGCCATTTATGCTGATTCATGGTCTCAGAAGATTCAAGGTGGTACGGCAACGTATTATGTTTCTCACCTTGTAAAGTCTGATTAGAACTGTATTTTTAAAGAAAATTTCACGTACTTACCAATCAAACATGTAAAACCGAGTAATGTGTATTTTCATTCTTCCTATTTTAATTGTTAAACTAGATGGTAATGTGAAAAACCATGTATTTCCTGTTTAGAAAAATTTCAGGATAATTTAGTTTGCATTTTGCAAGTATATGAGCGCTCAGGTTTTTTACTTTAGATACAAAACAGTTAATATGTAGATTTATGTTAATGGTGATTACAAAATATATAACCACCTAGAAAGTTTCAATTCAATGTTTGTTTCTGGAGTGATGTCAGTATGATTCTTCCTCTTTGGAAACAGAATTCTGAAATGACTTTTTAACATCTGTCTTTCCCCACCCTCCGACTATGGACTTCAGGCAAGCAGGGAACATGTTTATCCTATTCATTTGCACTCCTAGCACCATGCACTCAATAGGCAATATGTTGAATTTAACTGAGGTACAGTATAATACAACTTAGTGGTGGTGAACAGCTTAGTAAATCTATTGCCTTTCTTTTTTATCTTTAAGGAAAGAATCAGAGTATATATGAACAGAGTCAAGGAAATAACAGACAAGAAAAAGGCTGGCAAGCTGGATAGAGGTGCCGCTTCAAGATTTGTAAAAAATGCTCTCTGGGAACCAAAACCGAAAAATGCATCAAAAGTTGCCAATAAAGGAAAAAGTAAAAGTTAACTTTTTGATTTTGATGTATGCATATTCGAAAAGTACATCATTTTTTTCCACAAAATAATTCTGTGGCAGTGCAAAGTTTAAATGTGTTTCTTATTGAATTAATATATATATTTACAGTAAATTTGTAAAGCTGAATACTTTCCTCTCCAAAGATTGTTGTCTTTCTTGATTTGCACTATGAGGATTTAAACATTGTGATATATTTTATATTTATAATTTACCATCTCTTTTGATGAGACTCTTATTTCTTTATATAGGTCAATCTTGCAAGTACCATTTTATAAGCAACTGTGAAATTTAAGTAAAATGTTCTTTGTAAACATTTGTACTATTTTAAATGAATTAATGACCTTATGAAGTATGCTTTCTGTAGACTGAAATTATAGGTATATCTGTTTTCACTATATGACATTAAAGAAAGCATGAGATGATCTAAATGTTCATTTTTTTCTATATAGTTACTTTATCATGTTTTCATGATTTTAGGAATTACTGCTTTATTGCCAGATATAGGTGAAGGGGAGGAAGGCAGCAAATCACGCTGCCATGTGTGTACCTATGCAACAATCTTGCATGTTCTTCACATGTACCCCCAAACTGAAAATGCAATAAAAAAAAAAAAAAGAAACTAAAAGTTTATAGTTGTACTTTAATTCTTGGAATGTTGCCTCTATGTCCCATTTAAAATAAAATACATTCTCATTAACTTTAGATGGGAAATAAAGTTGTATGTTGATGGATAAATTTTGGCATGATGACTATACTCTCTCAGTAAAGGCTGAAAATGTTGTATAACTGACCTGTGTATTTTTATCTTTTGGGTAAATTTGCCTTTCAAATTAGGAAGATAGGTTTTAGAAGCATCGCAAATAGAGAAATTTATGGGTTTTTGTTCCTGATGCATGGTGTCCATGGTTCTTTTCATCTCATTTTTTTTCATTTCATGTTTTTGAGGCTGTATCAAGTACATACAAGTGTTTTGGAACAACTTCTTATGTTACATAATGCCACTTAAGCAGAGGAGATGTCCGAAGGAGATTACATTGTGTTTATATTGTGATTTATTTTTCTGGAATATTAGTTACAGAGAATCCTACATAGTAAACCTTTTTAAAAATGTCTAAGCCCGTGAATTTTAATTACATGCTCTTAATGCTTTCAGTGTTTGAATCTGTATCATTATGTGTAGGAATGCCAAGTATAGTAAAGTACTTTAGTTTTTGAAAAAGCAGTTGTTAAAATTTTCTGTGTGATTAATTCTCCATAAGTAACCTTGAATAAATGGATTTCTTGATTTATGATAGCAGATATTGGAAATGGTCTTAAAATGTAATGGATTTTGTAAAGCATGTTGAACTCTTTCTATGACACATGAAAAGGAAGTCACTGATAGACGCAGAAAGTCTTTTCTGGCTCTGATGTCAGACAATTTTTGAAGTGGAAGAACATGAACATTTATACTTATTTCACTCCTTTTTTCACCTTTATCCCCAAATTTCTAGCTATTTTTAAAAATAACCTCTTTTTGAGATAAATGTGTTACTGTTAAGATCAAGTCTAGTGTACATGTCTTTGTGTTATTTATTGGAAATAAATGTTTTTGGGTTTCTGTATATTTTCTAATTTCATAAAAGAAAAATAGCTCAAATGAAAAATGTTATACAATTGTAGAAAATTATTATTGGTTTTAGCTAAATTATTTGTTTATAAAAGTCCAACTCTACATTCTATTAAATTATATATATTTTTCTTTTTCAAGCGAAGATGCTTTAAGATAAATTATATATTCTTAAGTGAGTAATTCTTTCATTGTTTACGGTAGAAATAAAAGATAGTTTGAGCATATTCCATTTTATTATGTATAATTTTAAATACTTAGCACATAATAAAGAGCTGAATGGCTGTAGTGCTTTGGATTGCTTATTTGCTTATTGTTTATACTGCCAGACACAGTGCTAGGTGCAAGCCTCCAAAGACGATAACTACAGCCTTTGTCCTATTTATATAAGGTGTTAAGAAAAAAATAGTCTTTTTATTCAATTCAGTTTCTCAGAGTTACTGGAAAATTTATGACAAATTATGCTTATTAACCTTATTCAGAACCATAAAGGGTGATGTGTATGGTTGATCTATTTGACTATGGCACAGTTATTGTTAACATAATTTGTTCCAAATGATAGTCTGCTCTAAGTTTAGATGTTAATTACATCTTTTATTAATCTCTTTGGGAATTAACAAGTTGGAGAAGTTGCATCTATAGATATTTTTAAGATTAGAATTATAGTCTATTAATCTTATACTAAATAATGAGATCTTGTATTTTAATATTATTTTAATTACTTTTTTTTTTTCTTGTTCATAGTTGTAAGGTGGGAATTTCTTTTAGTAAAACAGAATATGTTAAGTGAAAAATTGAAGCTTGAATTATGTTACATTCCTGGAATTAGGAGGTTATGTCAGGTTGATTAGTTTTTAAGATAGCGTGTAGATTAAAAAATTCTTCTACTTAGCGATTAGAAATGGATTGGCATTATTTCTAAATAAGGTATCTAAAATGGACCAGAAGTGTAGGAAAGCCTTCAAAAATGGATAGTGTATTGAATGTAAGTACTTTTTTGTTAAGTAGGTCACTGGAGAAAAAGATACTTTAGGAATCACAGAGTTTATCATACAGTTAAATTATAATGTTATTTAATAAATTACCAGAAATTCTGGCTTTGCAAAGTTACATTAACTGAGAAAGATGTGGACAGTGACTCAGAGCCTCATGTAATAGCTAAATTTGGTATATAAAGGGAAGGAAAAGCACTGATGTCTCATTTTCTCCTTCCATAGCATAGTTAGCAAACTTCCTCAGATAAATTCAGTGGCTTTTCCTGAATGATCTTGGTAACAACCTATTTTATATCAATGTGATGTGAACATAATTTACAAATATAAACATTTATCTTTCCTTATAATCTGATCAAAACTCTCCAGTTTTGGAAATACAAGCCATATTTTGTTTAAATATTAGCATTTTATAGTTGTTATTAACAATTATGTTGACAGACAGTATACAGGATTTTATAATGGAATTCTGTAGATTTGTTTCACTTGAATAATTTGCTATTATGTTACCTGTTAGGGGGTTTTCAAGAAGATGGTTTGAATGTTTATTTAGTTTGCAGATTCATTTTCCTATCAAAGTGGGCTTACAGCCATAGACTACTCTTTGGAATAGCCACCCTCTGACTTGATGTGCCTTTTTAAAGTGCTTATTTATGGCATAACTTTTTATTATTCCCTCAAGAAGTCTGAGATTATGACATAATTTTTAACACAACCAGAAAGATAGTAAGGTGTTCTGAAAAGAGAGAGCTGTAGTGATAGCAATTGGCAATTGAGGTTTAATTTTTAACTTTATATCTCCCCACTCTCTGCCCAGCTAGAAACCTAAACCAACTACCTCTGAGCTGGTCATCTGTTCTTAAAAGGTTGAAACGAGATGCTAGTTTTACTCCTCCCACCCCAAGCCTTGAAGTTTAGCAAATCTATCATAGCAGAATAACTGTATGCAAGATGTCAATTTTGTAAAGCGATATATTTCAGACGTATACAAAATTTGATGGTGGGAAAAATAGGTTTTTATAAATGAAACATTTGAGAGTCTCTTTTTTTTATTTGCTTTTCTGTTTAGTGTTGCCTTTAAGGTGTACCATTTCAGTTTGGCAGCTGCAATAAATGAAGAAAATTGAAGATGATAATTCAGCATTTCAAGATGCTTCTGCTGAAATGAATGTAGACCTATCCAGAGCTTGAATTTTAAGTTTATAGTAATAGAATATTTTAAAGCCAAGTACCCAGGCAATTCATAGTGATATGATTTGAATGAGATTATTAGGAGGAATAGGGAAGAATACCTTCAATTTCTTGTTATGTAGGTATTATCTATTGAGATGCTATGTTGAAAAATGTTACTGTAAAAAGAATAGAAGCTTGTTATACCCAATTTGCTGTAGAGTACAATTTGTCTTGGACCTTATTCAAAGAACTTTAGTTATTAAAATAACACAAGAATTATAACAAGGAATTGCCTCTGATTTAGTGCTAGAGCAATGGGTTGCCTATAGACCATGTTCTAATGTGTGTCTGGTATAGTTTCATTTGGAGCCTTTAATCTCACTAATAAGGCATTCCTTGGCTTAAATTTAAACAGAAATCATTTGCTACCCTAGTTTTGATACTCTATTATTTTTCCCTTAAGAAAGATAATTATTTAAAAGTTGCTGGATTTTGTGGGTTTTGACATTTGTGAATTTTAACACTTGTAATTTTTACTATTTGTGAGTGACTTTTAGGAGGTTCATGGAGTATATAGTATTTTGTAATTTTGCCAAGACCCAATCTTAATTCTTGCTAAATTCCATGCAGGAAGGCATTAGCGAATGATTTAGCTTGGCTAACCTTTTAACATCCACAGCATTTCCCCATCACTTGCAGTCTCATTCATTTGTTCACTCATTAATTCGACAAATATTTATTGAACTCCTCCTGTGTACCAGGTTCTGTTTTAGGCACAGGAGATTCAGCAGTTATCCAAATATGGTTGTAGTGGTTGAAAGTTGTCGGACTTCATATCATGTGATAAATGGCTTCTATGGCTTGAATTGTTTCCCCTAAAATTCATAGATGGAAGTCCTAAGCCTCAATACACCTTAATGTATCCTTACTTAGAAACAGGGCCATAGTAGATATAATTAGTAAAGATGAGGTTATTAGGGTAGATCTTAATCCCATATACCTTTATAAAAAAAGGAAATTTGGACGCAAATAAAATGCACACAGGGAGAACACCCTGTGAAGGTTAAGGCAGAGCTTGGGATTATGCTTCTGCAAGCCAAGGAACATCAAAGATTGCCAGCAACCATCAGAAGCTAGGTGAGAGACCTGGAGCAGATTCTCATAGTCCTCAGAAGGAACCAACTTTCCTGATCCTGTGACTTTGGACTGCTGGCCTTCAGAACTGTGAGACAGCACATGTCTGTTGTGTAAGCCACCCAGTTATTGATACTTAAAGAAAACCCTGTCAGGTTTCCATGGAGAGGAGATTTTCACCAAGCCTATTATTATGTGCCATGTGTTCTTTTCCTAATGTAATACAACAGTCAGATTCAAAACATGAAAATTCTTAAAAGAGTCTGCAGGAGTTGTGTATAATTTGACCTCCTGGATGAGCACACATCACTTAAAAAATCTCATATTGGATTCACCCAGATAGAGATTTAAAAAAATGTGTATGTGTATATAAATTCTTAACTGTATAGTGTGGTATTCAGTTTTCTTTCTTTTTTTCTTTTTTTTTCGACAGAGTCTCACCCTGTCACCCAAGCTGGAGTGCAGTGGCACGATCTCAGCTCACTGTAACCTCTATTTCCCGGGTTCAAGTGATTCTCCTGCCTCAGCCTCCTGAGTAGCTGGGATTACAGGCGCCCACCATTGCGCCCGGCTAATTTTTGTATTTTTAGTAGAGATGGGGTTTCACCATGTTGGCTAGGCTGGTCTCAAACTCCTGACCTCAAATGATCTCCCCCCACCCTTGGCTTCCCAAAGTGCTGGGATTAGAGGTGTGAACCATGGCACCCCACCCAGTTTTCTTTCTTTAAAGTTAGGTATTAGAGAACTCAGAGGCTGGGCATGGATTGAGTTTAGGAGTTTGAGACCAGACTGGGCAACATAGTGAGACTCTGTTAAAAAAAAAACAAAAAACAAAACACACAACAAAAAAAAACAAAAGCTAGAACTTAGAAGTGGGTTCTT